TGAGACCTGATAAGCTAGGGTCAGATGGAAGGGGAGGAGGTCCTCCTCTATCAGTGGACTTGGAGAGGGGCGCAGGAGATGAGGGAAGGTAAGATTGGGAGGGAATGGAGGGGGGCTAAAGCTGGGGTAAAAAAAATGAATGAACTGTAATTAATACAAACAAAATAAAAATTTAAAAAATGGGGTACAGAACTAAACAGAATTCTCAAGAGAGGAATTTCGAATGGCAGAGAAACACTTCAAATGCTCAACATCCTTAGTAATGAGGGAAGCACAAATCAAAATGACCTTGAGGTTTCACCTTACACCCATCTGAATGGCCAAGATCAAAAACTCAAGTGACAACACATGCTGGAGAGGATGTGGAGAAAGAGGAACCCTCCTCCATTGCTGGTGGGAATGGAAACTTGTACAACCACTTTGGAAATTAATCCGGCGCTTCCTCAGACAATTAGGAATAGTGCTTCCTCAAGATCCAGCTATACCACTCCTAGGCATATATCCAAAAGATGATCAAGTATACAACACAGACATTTGCTCAACCATGTTCATAGCAGCTTTATTCATAATAGCTTTATTCAGAATCTGGAAACAAACAGATGTCCCTCAGTTGAGGGATGGATACAGAAATTGTTGTACATTTACACAATGGAATACTAGTCAGCGTTTAAAAACAAGGAAATCATGAAATTTGTAGGCAAATGGTGGGAACTAGAAAAGATCATCCTGAGTAAGGCATCCCAGAAGCAGAAAGACACAAATGGTAGATATCAGACATATAATATAGGATAAACATATTAAAATCTGCACACCTAAGGAAACTCAGCAAGAGGGAGGACCCTCGGTAAAATTATAAATCCTCATTTAGAAAGGCAAATGGGACAGACATCAGAAGAGGAAGAAAACAGGGAACAGGACAGGAGCCTACTGCAGAGGGCCTCTGAAAGACTCTACCCTGCAGGATATCAAAGCAGATGCTAAGACTCATAGCAAAACTTTGGGCAGAGTGCAGGAAATCTTAGGAAAGAAGGGGGAGATAGAAAGACCTGGAAGGGACAGGAGCTCCAGAAGGAGAATAAGAGAACCAAAAAATCTGGGCAAAGGGGTCTTTTCTGAGACTGATACTCCAACCACAGACCATGCATGGAGATAACCTAGAACCCCTGCACAGATGTAGCCCACAGCAGCTCAGTATTGAAGTGGGTTTCCTACTAATGGGAACAGGGACTGTCTCTGACATGAACTTAGTGGCTGGCTCTTTGTTTACCTCCCCCTGAGGTGGGAGCAGTCTTACCAGGCCACAGAAGACAATGCAGCCAGTCCTGATGAGACCTGATAGGCTAGGGTCAGAGGGAAGGAAAGGAGGACCTTCCCTATCAGTGGACTTGGGGAGGGTCACGGGAGGAGAAGAGAGAGGGAGGGTGGTACTGGGAAAGTACTGGGAAAGCCCAGGAGGGGCTACAGCTGGGATACAAAGTGAATAAATTGTAATTAATAAAAAAAAAGAAAGAAAGAGTCAAAGTTCTTACAGTCCTGCCAAGGAATAACCTGCATCTTCCAGGTGGATCCTAGCTCCTAAAACCTCAAGAAATTTCCTATCAGTTTTGAACCATGGATTGAAACACTAATTGTATGGGGAGACTTTTAGTCAAGCTATGTCAGTAAAAGCAACCGGGCTAAGGTGAGTTAAGGAGGAGTGAAAACAATGAGGCCAGAAAAAATAAAGATATTTGGGAGAACAGCATCCTGAGTATGAGTCAGTTACTTTTTCTTGCTATGCTAAAATACCATGACTAAGCCAAATTATTAAAGGTATTGTTTACTCGAGGTAATGATTCCTGAGAGAGAATGCATGAAGGAGGTATTGGATAAAGGAGGGAAGGCATCACCTTTATGTTGCTGTTCTGGTTACAAAATAACCAGAACAGAATGTCAAGAGATCTCAAATGTTCTACATTGCAATCCAGAATCCATTTTCACAACTTTACCCAAAGGTTTCTGATGGCCTCCCTGACACACACTGAATATCCTCATTGATTTAAAAAAGAAATGATAGGAAGGCTCAGTGAACCATCTGTTCTTGCATTTGTCATCTTGATATTTGATATATATTTGTTTGGTACATATTTGCAGGACCTTTAGAATTTTGAAACAATTACATCCTAGGATCAAGCAACCCTTCAATATTTCTTCTCTTGCTCCTTGAATCTTAGCTGGATAGGTTTTTTTCCTGACAGCATCCTTCTCACAGTACCAGTAAGGATCAGTAGAATTCTCTTTAGTGTCCTTACTCTTCTTATCAACTACTGCCTCTTCTTTAGCCTGCTGCACTTGCTATAGCAGTAAGCTTCCTTGCAATCCTTTCCTCTCCAAACCATATATTTTGTATTTCTTTCTGTCCCACCTGCTATTTTTCACTATAGGCCTGCATAAGAATTACCACTAATTATAATCCCACAGAGTTGTGTTGTACTTTCTTTAAATTCTGTGGGCCAAACAAACCAATCCATCACTCTCACACTCTGCTTCATGTCAGTTCTCAGGATGTGGGCATAATACAGCCATATTGTTCGCCAACTATCACAATAAAGCCTTTTAACACAATTACTCTTAAAGTCCCTGAGTTCTTCTGAAACCCTTGAGCTGACTAGTAAAGTCCATTTTTCTCTCATCTCTGTAGTTTTCCAGATTCCAACCAGAATAAAACATTATGCTCTACTTACAACACTCAGCTGCTTTTCTAATCCAAATTTCTTCTACTACATTTCATCTATAGCCAACATGACCAGAGTCTTTACAGCAACATCCCACTATTTGGTAACAATTTACATAGTTACTTTTCTGGTGCTCTGATAAGACATCATGGTGGGGAGAGAGAGAAACAAGTGGCAGGCAAGGCAACAGGAGCAAGAACAGAGTAATCACATACTGAAAAGCATCAGTTTGTACTGAAGCGGAGGAAACCTGCTGGAAATTTACAAAGCTTTTTAAAAGCTTCTTTCTCTTTTATATTTTTAATAACAGAGCCAGTTTACTTATATTGCCAATGCTGGAGATGTGCCCTCACATCTCACATCCCTCTCAGTCAGTTTCCTCATTCCTTGCTGAGGCAACCACAGTATTGCTTTTATTTATAGTTTTATCATTGAAGCATTTACCCCCAAATACTAGCTCAATTTCACCTGCTTCTAAAACTTTATATAAATGCAGTCACATGGCATGTGTACTTTGGTCTGACTTTTAATATTTGAACTTATATTTTTGAGATTCATTGATGTTCCATGTAGCTGGCAAGCTTTTGGTGTCTCCAAATGTAGGTGACATTATACCCCGGGTCCGCTCTCATCTCATTGCTTTGCCTAAAGGGGTTGTTATATTTAGGAGGTCATAAAAAAGAAAAACTTCCATTCAGACATCATCAATCTGAATGTGTGAGGAAAAGACAAGTATGTTTTGTATGTGTGCATCAGTTCTTATGTGTGGAGTGTATGGTAAAGAGGATTCCCCCTTTCTGAGGACTAGGGGAGGGGGCTAGAGGGAAAAGGGAGGGTGTGACTGGGAGGACAGGAGAGAGGAGGCTGCAATTGGGGTGTAAAGTGAATAAATTATAAAAAATAAATTAAAAACACACACATATATGAACTTTTGTCTTCTAAATAAGGAATATGTAAGCCACGTGTACTGCTGCTTGCCTTTAATCCCAACAATGTGAAAGGCAGAGAAAGGCAGATATCTGTGGCAAGCCTGGTCTACACAGTAAGTTCTAGGACAGCCAAGGCTACATAGTGATGCCCTGCCTCAAAAAATAAACTAAAGAACATATATATGAAGCATGGATTACCCTCTATATGTTGTATGTTAGTTACAAAGGTTTTAATATCAAGGCCCACTTTAGTGAAAAGTGCTTTCTCCCCAAAGGCTGCACCAGCCAATCCTGCCCAAACAGCATAAACTAGGGGACCTAGTGTTGAAACTGAGGCAGTGGGGGATATTTCTCATTCAAACCAACATATTTTCTATCTAATAAAGCTTAGTCATGAACAGAATATTTTTCTAAGTTGAGACTTCTTTATTGAAATTAATTACTGAAATTCAGAGTTCTGGGAACTGAACGCTTACAGGTTGGTCAGAAGTAATTGTGTCTTTTGTGAACTGTATAGCTCTGTGTCTGTTGTCCTACAGCCCTCAAAGAAAAATTATTCCTTTTCTACTTTTTCTGTATCTTCGTAATTGCAAAAGATTAGTTCCACGTTTTCATCAGTAAAAATAATGGTGGGTTTTTCTAGAGAGGGGGAAGCAAGGAGAAAAAACGAGGGCTCGAAAGTGGAGAGGAAAAAAAATGAGTATAAAAATAGCCATGCATTGCCTTTCCTTAATAGGTTTCAACAAACCCTGCTACCTCCGCCTTCTTCCCTTTCACACTTCCATTTTCAATCTTAAGGAGAAAGGATTGCGGTACTTTCAGGTTAGCCTTGTAGGAGGGTCACAGGGTTGGGCGTCCATCCTGAAATACTTTCCGCCTTGCTTATTTCTAACTAGCTACCCAGAAGCTCGCCAACAAGTAAAGTAAGAACCGCTCTGGCTGCTTTCTCCAGGACTGAGGACAGGTGGCCTAACAAAGCCCTGAACGCCACGAACCACAAGCTCGCCTCGTGGGAAGACAGCAAGGCAAGTCTCCCTTCTTAGTGGACTCCCTGCTTCACAGAGACCTGGACAACGCCACAGAGACACAACCCGGCCAGCCTATCCTTCATTGCATCTAGCATAGGCCCCAAGACTCGGGACAACCTTCTCCGTGCCTCCCCAAGGAGCCATATTGGCCACCTCCCACTCTCGACTGTAATTGGCTCACAATTCTGTCATTTCCTTGGTTGCTAGTAGCGATGTAGGCGGGCACAACACTGGTCGCTAAGATACTCCAGTTCCGCTTCCGCCCCTCCAGCGGAAAGCATATCAGGTTCTTCCGTCCAATGGTGAATGGGAAGTAGGCGGGACTTGGTTGTTTCGGACCAAACAGACGCGAGCTTGCACTGCCAATGGCGGCGGAACAGCCCCTGTAACGTGGCTCAGGCGCCCCCACGGCCGCTTTGCGTCCTTTCCCCGGCACTGCCCCGCTCGAGCCCGGAATCCGCCCGGAGCTAGCCGCAGCCTGACCGAAACTCCAGGGAGCCAAGATGGCAGCTGCCGACGGCGACGATTCGCTCTACCCCATTGCGGTGCTCATAGATGAACTCCGCAATGAGGACGTTCAGGTGCGGGAATCCTTCCGTTAGAGTCTGTGGGGGAGATCGGGGTCGGGGATCTTCGCGGAATGTAGGAGAGAAGGCTCTGGGTTCTTTGGGAGGGGCGGGAGGCAGCGGCGGCCAATCAGAATTCAGTTCTCATCTCCCTAGGTGGCAAGATTCGATGAGATGGCGCCCCTGATTGGGTGCTGGAGCCAGCGGAGGGCAAGCCTCGAGGGTCCCACCTGAGTGCGCGCGGTCGTCCGGGATCTGGGCCTGGGCGGCCCGAGATGGGGTGGGAGGGCTTGCGGTCGCCTGCCAGGCGGGTGATTGGCGGCCGACTCGGAATGGTCCCCTGTAGGAGAGAGACGGGGGCGCGTGACCAACAGAGTAGGGGAAGCCCTCATGGGTGCTTTGGGCCGGGGTAGCTTTCCCATTGCTTTTAGTGTTTCGTATAACTGGGGCAAGTGAGGACTGATACAGGAACTTCCTTCCATTCTTCCCGGGTCTCGTCTCGCATCGCATTTTTGGTGTAGCTCTCCTGAAGGAGAGAACCTGAAGGTATCCTCTCCCGAGATTTAACTAGCCAAATCTGGGATGGGTCACGTGTACAGCCCCACCTCTCCACCAACCCGGTCCCTGGCCGGGCCACCAAGCGAGTTGATAGTTCTGGTTCCTGAGAGAAGAGTGACCCAGGGCCTCTGAGTCGACTGCTGTGGGTTGGAGAAAAAGGGCAGACCTGAAGGCCGCATCCTCTCGCCTGAGGATGACCTTGTGTGTGCACGTTATTCCATTGCCCCTAGCTTCCGTTTTCTACAAAATACCGACTAATAATAGTCCTGGTGGCTGGGGAAATGTAGTAAAATAGAACAGGCTGCCTGTAAAGGCCCCATAAATGTTAGCTGTTATTTTGGGGAGTGGCTGTTGTACTATGCTCTAAGGGCCGCTATTTCTTTTTTTATATAGAATTGTTCCTGCTGCACCCAGAGCCTAGACCCAACTCTAAGTCTTACGTATATGACTCAAGTTCTGATGTCAGACAGGCTGGAGTGTAATTCTGGGTCTTGCATTTCTTGCTAGTTGACTCGGGCAATCTGTTTCTCTTCTGTTAAATGGGAATGACAATATGGCTTTAGGATAGTGTATGAATTTATGTATTCAGTAAACATGCAAAGTATCAGGAATGTGGTTGGGATCATAAAAGAGACTAGAGCCGTTATAGTGGTGCATGCCTGCATTGCCAGCGCTCAGGAGCCAAAGGCAGGTTCAAGGCCAGCCTGGTCTACATAGTGACATTCTGCATCAACAGTAAAAAAGTATGGTTGCTGTACAAGAGCTAGGTGTGAAACAGGTTAAGAGAACTAAATATACATATTACCACATGTAAAGAATTGATGAGACCTGTCAGTGTTGAGATAGTGAGTCAGCAAATGTTTGCTGGGCCTGTCTTCTGAGCAGTGCTCTAGATGCTTTTATACAGCTGGGCACAAAAGGACAAAACTGGCCTTAAGAGGAATTTGCCTTGTAGTGAGGTATGACAATAAATATGTATTGTGTTGACTGTGGAAAATATGAAAAATAATGTAGGGTAAAATATCAGAGTGAGCTTGGGAAAGTCTTACTGATAAGCTGATGTTTGAGACAGTATCTGCTTGTGGAAAGAGCCATGAGATTCTGCACAGAGTGCATAACAAGTAGGCAGTTGAGTGAGGCATTGGGCTGGTCAAGAGAGGCTCCTTCCAGTTTGAAAAGTTGGAGAAGATACTTCCGGAAGAGGGAGTCTGTATGTGCAATGGCTGTAGTTCTCAGCTTTTCAGCCTCCAGAATGTTTAGTAGTGTCTAGGGGTGTTTTGGGAGATTGTTGCTGCTTTTAGTAAGTAGAAGTCAGAAATGCTGTTAAACATAGTTGAGGTGTCTAGGACCTCCCTTACAGGTTTAAAAAAAAAAAAAAGTCCCACTTAAAAAGACTTTCGTGCTAAGATTGATGGAACCTGTTAGATGAAATGTTCACCCAGAGACTGTAAGGAACTTGGTTAGCTTAGGTCAGTGTGCCAGTTTTCTAAGGATTCTGTAGCAAATCACCATAAATTTAACACTGTAAAACAGCAGAGTTTTATTATATGGTTCTAGAGATCAGAAATCTGTCACTTGTCTCACGGGGCGAAGATGACCTCATAACAGCATAGCCTTGAATTCAGGCAACGTGGTTACACAGCCTTCTGCCACTTTTCTCCAGTATTCACAGTACCATCTCTTGAAGAAAACAATGAACATCTTTAACAAATCAAAACTAGAGGGAAAGAACTGCTGCCCACAACTGGAGCAGAAGCTTGATGTTCAGGACCTTCCAGCTCTAAGACATACTTCCACAATGACAGTGTGCATAGACAGTCAGACTGTTTAGGTTCTGCTCGGGAATCCACTGTTTTCCATCAAGTGCTTTTTTTTCTTTGCATTAGCATCCTTACCTGTTAAAGTGATCTTTCTACATGACCACAGAGCTGAGTGTAAGTAAGCCAGCGGAGCATCCAGGGGCAATCTGTAGATGCTGTGTGCTGTTATTACTGGCATTAAGATTATGAATGGGATGGTCCTCACCGCCCATCATCCTTAGGGATGCTGCGCACTGCTTACCAGTTGTCACCCTGGCCCATGCATTTCCCATAGTCCTGCTTGGAAAGGAGCACAGACATCTAAAAAAAACAGTTGAGGCAAGGACATTTTAAAAAACTAGTAAAAGGGTCAACAAAATACAGCCTTTTTATAGTACAAAGATACAGTACTATATCAAGCCATGCCAGTTTGTTTCCATAACGTCTCTTTCCCATCCCTGCACCTGTGCTGTGAGCACAGGTTGAGCGGTTCAGAGACTACCCTGTGAGGCTGCGAACGTTTACTAGCAATTTAGAGAACAAGTTTTGCTGGGTACTCAAGTACACTGAGCACCTGCAGACTTACTGCCAGCATCGAGGGACTGTTAATGTTTGCAATGTTTTTTTAACCTTGGTGAAACTGTTTTGGGGTTTATACTCATCTCAAAGTCTTTGTACTACCAAAATGAGATTTGGGGCCTCCTTTGTCATTTTACTGCTCTAAAAGGCATGGTGGTATTGAATGAAAAATGATTGTTTTTAAGTGAAGATACTGTTATTTTTTTGTTTCTTTTGTTATTTTCATTTATTACAATTTATTCAATTTGTATCCTAGCTGTGACCCCCTCTCTCATCTTCTCCCAGTCCTACCCTCCCTCCCTCTTCTCCCCCTATGCACCTTCCCCAGTCCACTGATAGGAGAGGACCTCCTCTTCTTCAATTTGACCCTAGCCAATCAGGTCTCATCAGGACTGGTTGCATTTTCATCTTCTGTGGCCTGACAGGGCCACACACACACACACACACCCAAAGAGAATTGACCAGGGAGCCAGCCACTGAGTTCAGAGACAGTCCCTGCTCCCCTTACTAGAGACCCAACTTGGAGACTGAGTCTTTGGGCTACATCTGAGCCAAGGTTTTAGGTCTTCTGCATGCATTGTCCTTGGTTGGGTATCATTCTCTTCAGGGGCCCCAGGGCTCAGTTTTTATGGCTGTTTGTCTCCTTTTGGAGTTTTAGTCCCCTCCATGTCTTTCTGTCATCCCCTTCTTTCATAAGATTCCCTGTGCTTCAATACCTCGATTAGTAGAGTCTTTCAGAGGCCGTCTGTGGTAGGCTCCTGTCCTGTTCCCTGTCTCCTCCTGCTTCCAGTGTCTATCACATTTGTCCTTCTGAATGACGATTGAACATCTTCCCTAGGGTCTTCCTTGTTGTTTAGCTTTTTTTAGGAGTATAGATTTTAGTATGTTTATTCTATATTATATGGCTAATGTCCACTTTTGAGTGAGTATATACTGTGTGTGTCTTTCTGCTTCTGGGTTACCTCACTCAGGATGATGTTTTCTAGTTCCCACCATTTGACTGCAAATTTCATGATTTCCTTGTTTTTAAACGCTGACTAGTATTCCATTGTGTAAATGTACCACAATTTCTGTATCCATTTCTCCATTGAGGGACATCTAGATTGTTAAGATACTGTTTTATAACCGAGGCTGACCTGGAACACATGATGCTCCTGCCATAGCCTCCCAAGTGCTGGAGTTACAGGCTTGTACTGCTGTGCTTAGGTACAATTTTCCTCATAGCATTTTATCAGAGTCTCAGAATTGTCTGTGAGCCAAGAGACCTTTATGTGAGTCATACTTTTCCAGGATCACACTTTTAGACATACTTCCAGTTTTCTGAAGAGAGCTGATTGAGCCTGCTCCTACCCCTCTCTCAGTCTTCTGTTCTCTTTTTCCTTCCATAAGAGGGTTCCCCTGGAACTGGAAAAGGTCATCCTGAGTGAGGTATCCCAGAAGCAGAAAGACACACAGGGTATATACTCACTCATAAGTCACTCATAAGTGGATATTAGCCATATAATATAGGATAAACATACTAAACTCTGTACACCTAAGAAAGTTAATCAAGCAGGAGGACTCTGGCTAAGATGCTCAATCCCCATTTAGAAAGGCAAAGAGGATGGACATCCGAGGAGGGAGAAAGCAGGGAACAGGACAGGAGCCTACCACAGAGGGCCTCTGAAAGGCTCTACCCTGCAGGGTATCAAGGCAGATGCTGAGACTCATAGCCAAACTTTGGGCAGAGTGCAGGGAATCTTATGAAAGAAGTGGGAGATAGTAAGACCTGGAGGAAACAGGAGCTCCACAAGGAGAGCAACAGATCCAAAAAGTCTTGTCACAGGGATCTTTTCTGAGACTGATACTCCATCCAAGGTCCACTCATGGAGATGGCCTGGAACCACGCACGGCACAGAGGTAACCCATTGCAGTTCAGTGTCCAAGTGGGTTCCATAGTAATGGGGACAGGGACTGTCTCTGACATGAACTGATTGGCCTGCTCTTTGATCACCTCCTCCTGAACGGGGAGCAGCCTTACCAGGCCACAGAGGAAGATAATGCAGCCACTCCTGATGATAGACTAAGATTAGAGGGAAGGGGAGGAGGACCTCTCTTATCAGTGGACTGGAGGAAGGGCACAGGTGGGGAAGAGGAAGGGGAGGGGGAGCTACAGGGGGGATACAAAGTGAATAAACTGTAATTAATAAAAATAATTTTTAAAAAAGAGGGTTTCCCTGTGTGATAATTCAGTTTTTAATCCCTCAGATATTGTCTTCTTCATAGAATGATCTTACTATATTCTTGGAACAGCTCTGGAGCTAAGCAGAACAAAAGCACCCTGTGGAGAGTAAGAAACAGATAGGGACGTGTCATAATCAATTTTCAGTGCTGGTCTGGGCACATGTCTCTTTCCAAGCCTTGGTTTCTGTGGAGTGGAGACCCATGCCTAGGGTAGAGACAGTCAAGTGAGAACCTAGAATGTAAGACAGACCAGTTAGTTGTGTATGTTAGACAGTTGTTTGCTAAGGCTGCTGTCTTAAATCACCACAAGTAGGGTGGATTAAAACAAATGTATTCTCTCAAACTCCAGAACAACTAAAAATCTGAAAGCAAGGTTTCTGCCGGGCTGGTTCCTCTAGGTCTGCTCCATATATCTCCCCTAACTTTAGAGAGCTGTTGGCAACTTTGGGTGTTCTTTGCCGTGTATAGATGCCACCCCAACCTCATCCTCCATTTTCATACGACCATGCCTTCTGCAAATATGTCTTCTCCATTTCTATTGCTTATAAGGATGCTCATAGAGGATAGGCCCAACTCTGAATTGGGATGGTTTCATCTTAAGATAAATAACTGCTCACAGAGATACTCTGTCACATTGACAAGCACAAGGTGTTAGGCTGGTGTGTGTCTCCACATGCTGTGTATTAGAAAAACAACACTGTTTGGTTTTTCCTCTGCTCTCACAGCACAGTTGAGAGAGTTTCATGATTCATGAAAACAGTACATGATTTCCCCACTAGCAAACAAGCATTCAATTCTGCAGCAGCCCCCACCAGCCAGTGCTCTGTAACCTAGTTCAGTTGTGATGCTGTCTACTTGGAGAGTGTCAGATCCCACAGTTGAGGACTCATCCCTAAGAATGTCCCCAACCTTCAGGTGCCACTTGCAAGCCCCAGTTCTTTTCACCTGTGCTTCTTTATCAGTTGGCTGTGAGTTGAGGTTTCTACATATCCTATGTGGTGAATGACTGCATGAGGGAAACCTAGAAAGGTTTCAGCATTCTTCTTGGCCTCAGCAGCATTACTTCCTTTAGGATGTGGGACAGAATCCATGCTGGAATGGTATTTATAGTTAACGATAGGGATCAACCCTTCATGGCTGCTATAAGACAAGAAGGCAGAGGACGATGAGGTTTTCTGTGATTGGCTTTGGATGAGAGACATTCTAACTGTTATGGCCTATATGAAGGAAAAGCCACAATCCAGAAACAGCAAGCAAAAGTACATGCTTGCATGGAAACTGCATGTATACCTTTATGTTGTGGGTCAGCCCCCCTGAACTAGAGGGATTAGAGCTGTTAATACTAGTCATGCTTTCTGTTTTTACTAGCATATATTAATTATGCATAGAGTGGTTTCATTATGACATTCTGTATGATGCATTTTTATCTTAATCCCCTGTTCTCTGCCATTTCTCCTGATCCCCTTCTCCCCATAGTCTTCCTTCTATTTACAATCACCTTAAATTAGGGTTGCTTATAGGAGTATCAGTAAGATGTTTTGTTTTGATGTCCTCTTGCTGTACAGTTCGTGCTGGTCTCAAACTCAAGATGTTCGTTTCCCAGCCTTCTGAGTGCTTGGGTCACAGTGATGCAGCACTGATCCTGGCCATTTTGTTCTTAGGGTAATGTCAGATTGCTACTCTTAGCCACCAGTCCTGGGCTGGTTGTTTGTGATGTAGCTGTTGTTTGTTTGTAGCTGACACTAGCCCAGAACTTAGTTTGTAGTTAAGAAGACCTTAACTTCTGATCCTCCTGCCTCCTGCGCCACATCCCAAGTGTTCTGCAGTAGTGGGCAGTGGAGCCAGTAAGAAGGGTTAGGGAAGTGGGGTTCAGTTTTAGTGTAAACTTGAAAAGACCCCCGGGGAGGTTCTGGTTTTCATTGCTGCTATTAAATATTTCCTCTAGAAACACAGCTTTGCTTGGTTGGATTTGACTTGAATTTGCTGTTGATCACTGAGCAACTTTATTCATAGCACTGGGCCTTCCAGGGATTGACCTAATGGTTTTAGAGCTATGGAGCTCCTGTGGGTCCAAAATTCCAAATTTTCTCTCCTTTTGCTTGTTCTTTTATTAGCTTCGCCTCAATAGTATCAAGAAGCTCTCCACCATTGCCTTGGCTCTTGGAGTTGAACGGACCAGAAGCGAGCTCCTGCCCTTCCTTACAGGTAAGGGACTTCAGGGACCCAGATGCAGTGAGGACACTTGGGTGGTTCTTACTAGTGAGTGAGAAACCTCACTGTAAATTAATAAATTATAAGTCTTCCCTATGCCACTGTGACATGGCGTAGTACTCCAGAGGAACCTCTAAGAAAATGTTTTGGAAAGATAAAGCAAGAGAATGTAGCTTGAATCACAGCTTCAGTTGTTAGCATTTACCATAGGCAACCTTCGGAGATTTTTTTTTTTTTAATCTCTAGAATAAAGATAATCTACACACTGTGTTGGTGATGTGGGCAGTAAAGAGCAATAATTACTAACACTACGTAGTTGTCACATGGCAGCTGGCCACTGGACTCCTGTTTCGTGGTACGGAGTTAGCGCATTCAGTGTTTATAATGGTGCCTATACCTTTAAATGTCCATCTCCATTGCCGCTCATCTCAGTCTTAGAGCAGCACCTTAAAGCAAGGATGTTACTGTTACAGGCTTGTACATGAGGAAACTAAGGCTTAAAAAAAATGAGGTGACCTGGGATTTTTTTTTTTCCCTTTGTAGTCAGCAGCATTAGTTAAATGTGCAGAGTTGGGGGTCTGATTTCATAAACCTTGCTTTTCTGTCTTCCTGTGGTATGCTTTTGGGCAAGGTATTTCATATCCTCCTGCTTCAGAGGGTTTATAGGTAAGACAGGCATGATTCTATAATCTAAATGAGGACTAAGGCTCCTAGGAGGCACCAGTGGCCGGCACAGTGTGAGCTACTTTATTCAGTTTTGCTGTAGTTATTCTCATTTCATCCCTGCTACACTCAGCCTCTAGTCAGAATGAGAACTAAAGGTTCTGAGTGCTCTGTGGCTGACAGAAGTGATTTGTGTTGGATTATCTCCTATGGATGACTGGCAGAAGTGAGAGGCCAAGGCCCTCCCCTGTTTGACAGATGTGTAGCTGAGGCCTATCAAGGTTCAGGGCACACACAGCCCATGACCAAGTGTGCAGGTCTGACAGCACACAACCTGAAGAGTAGGTACCTGCATCTGACAGGAACATATGATCCCAAAACAAGTGTGTTCCTTTGATGAGTTGCTAGAGATACCCGAAGGCTTTAGGGTCCTTAGACAGAGACAGCTCTTGGGGTAGCAGGATGGCATGAAGAATAATTACATGAATAAATGGTACAGGGAAAACCACCAAAGAGTTCTGGATTTGAAACAAGCTGTTGCAGCCTAACCCTGCTGAGAACCTGGAAATTCCTTCTACTGCTTGTGTTTAGCTCCTTTGTTGAAGCACGTAGTGGGCACTGTGGCTGGATCTGAGAGAGCTGAGGTATGCAACTAATGAGAATAGCCAGTGTGAGTGACTAGTGAATATAGGTGGGTGGCAAGGATGTCCAGGTTAGGGATATCAGAAGAGCCACTTAGGTGATAATGGGTTACATTGTGCTGGCTTTCTGTGCCATATGGAGCCTCTGAGGTTTAATCCTGTAGGTGGACACAGCGCCGTTGTACGTAACTGCTAGAGTACAGAAGAAGTGAGTGGTAGTCTGAGGGGAGGTGCACAGGTAGCAAGCCTGTCGGCAAGGTAATGTCTTAAGAGCAAAGCCCCGGTAGTCAGTAGACCAGGATCCCGGCCTGCCTTGCTGTTTTCTTTCCCCTGCAATGTCAGAAATCACATGGTTCGTGTGAGTTACTGTGAAAGTTCACTAAGCTTAGTATTAATGTATTGTTTGATGTATTGTTGAAACTTGGATGTTCTAATAATCCAGGTGTTTTAATAATCCAGGTAGGAAGAACTATGGGAGCCTGAAAGTGTGGGCAACAAAAGATTGAAGAGGGCCTGTAATTCAGATTTATTTTTGAGGTCTTGGAATTCTAAGTTATGTCAGATTTCTTCTGCTCTGAGTTCAGTGTTTAGAACACCATGTGGTAGGCACATGTCCAGGACAGTGGTAGTGTTTCAGAGAGCACAAGCTAAAGGCCTCTAAGCTCGTGTCTACTGAATGAATATTCAGCTGGTTTTTTTGAGGGAAAATTACCAGGCTACAGTTTAATAGGAACAAAGGCTTCAGAGTGGCCATCTTCAACTGTTGTGTTTTGGCAGTTCTTAAATCTGGAAGTGTGAGGTCAAGGTATCAGTAGCTTTGGTCTAGGTTTCTCTTGAGGCTGCTCTGCTTGGCTTCCTCATGGCAAGTCCCAAGGTGAAGAATGTTAAAATGCTGATGAACAGCCAATGACTGCCCATTCTTTCAGGGGGCAGTGTTTTCTTCTGGAAAGGCAGGAATTGAGGGAGGCCTTTGAGTTTAGGCAGTGCAAGTAGTGTCCCTGTCACTTGGTCATTCATTCTTTTAATAGACTGACTTAAGCTCATGGGTATTCTGACTGTGGCAGGAGCTGGACACACCAAATCTAGTCTTGGCCACAGGTGATCAAAACTCCTAATAAGGGGGAAGAAAGAGAGTAAGTTCAGGAAAAGGATCTGACGTAGTCTAGGGGCTTCTTAGCAATTTACCAGTAGCTGAACCAAGCCCAGAAAGGTAGGAAAGAATTTCCTGGCTGAAGACTTTCAGGAATTCCATGTTTAAGCTGGACCCTGCTAGAAGCTCCACTGAACATCCTGTTCTTCATGCACATGGCTGTGCTTGTCCTCATTGAGAGGAAGCCAAAATCGGGGTTAGAATAGTGGTGTCACTCAGCTACCATACCACACCTAGCATGGGGCAAAAAAGGTAGATATGGGACTTGGGCTTACTCTATGCTTGCCACGTAGATGAGGAGGAGGAATGGCAAGCAGGTGGGGAGATAAGGGTGCCAACAATGAAGAAGCAGGGTCGTGTTTGCTTATTTGAAGCCTGGGTTAGTGGTTTGGCTTGAGTCTTTGATGGATTTGGTCTTTGTCTCACAGACACCATCTATGATGAAGATGAGGTCCTTTTGGCCTTGGCTGAACAGCTGGGAACCTTTACAACTTTGGTGGGAGGACCTGAGTATGTACACTGTCTGTTGGTGAGTGAAAGTGGGAAGTTCCTTAATCCTCTTTTCTACCTTGGGGTCGGAACTGTGGTTTTGTCCATGGGGACCAAGAAGGAGAGGATTTGGGAAGGCTGGAGATCACCTCAGAGTGGGCAGGCCCTGGATATCACTTTAACTCAAGTCAGTGGTGACATTTAATCTATATTTGCCATCATCCCTGATACCTGACTTAGATGCCCCCACAGCACTTGGCATGTAGTCAGTACTCAGGTGCTGTAGTTTTCATGGCTGGGTAAGATGCGCCACCTACTGTTTTGGGTAGGAAGGTTCACTTGATAGATGAACCACCTAGAGTGCCTTGAGGTTGAGCCATCCCGTCAGAGACTCCTTGCTAGTAAGTGGCAGAGCTGGGTTTTCAAGATTATTTGCTTGATTGCACCAGGCCCTACCATACCATCTGTCTGTGTATCTCTCTGTTGAATGACAGGCTGGCAACATAGACTCTGATAGCATGTACTATATAGGGAAAGAGAGCCAAATGGTTCTTTAGATCTTAGCTGTTTGCAGTTTTGGCAAATTACATAGCCTGTATACTTCAGATTCCTGCTCTTTGATTAATGAAGACAGCATCAGGACTGTTTTACAAGACTCACACAGAAGGAGTGACAAAAATGTGAACGATACAGTGGCCTTGCCTAAAACCATGGTTGTTGGAGCCAGCATCAGGAATGATTATTGTACATTGAGAACTATACACACATGAGCTTTCTAAAGATTGGCTCATTGGAAGCTTGTGATAAAGGATAGGATGGGAGATTAGGAGTCTCACAGATAGGCCATGGAGTAGAGTTCCATAGCTGAGACAGTAGGGAAAAATACTGGTCTCTTAACTTTGTGTTCTTATCACAGCCACCCCTTGAATCACTGGCCACAGTGGAAGAGACAGTAGTGCGAGACAAGGCGGTAGAATCCTTGCGGGCCATCTCACACGAGCATTCACCTTCCGACCTAGAGGCTCACTTTGTGCCTCTGGTGAAGCGGCTGGCAGGTGGAGACTGGTTTACTTCCCGTACCTCGGCCTGTGGCCTCTTTTCGGTTTGCTACCCCCGAGTATCCAGTGCTGTGAAGGCAGAGCTTCGACAGTGAGTCCTCACTTGCCTCTTGGCAGCCTGCATCCCCATCACCTCACTTAACCTTCCTCAGAGCCTCAGCCCCACTAGGTCTTCCCAGGAACTAATGTCCCTGATCTCTCCCTGTACCCTCCTTAGCTCTCCACAGGGAGACTTGTTCTTGATAGTGATCTCTGATACCACATCACAGGAGTGAATTTGCCTGCCTGGTCTGCCTTCATGGAATTGTATTCCCACCATTGGTTACACATGCTGTGCTTGGAATAGAATCCCACACAACATATGGTGTCTGGTATTACTTGCAGCCTGGCCCAGGTTCTGAGGCATCACTCCATAACCATGGGTTATAGCTTTATGCACATACTGTCATGTCTCCATTAGTCCCCACGTATCTCTGACTGAGGCAATTGCTGCTGAAAAGGAAGACCTGTCACTGGCATTTTAAGCACTTCCATGGATGTGGCCAGTCATTAATACTGTGTTATACTCTTTCACTGAGACCTCAAGTCATCTTTGTGGGCATGTGCCATTCGTCCCGTGTGTGGTGCTGAGAAAACAATGAAGTCATGAGTTATACAAAGTCACCATTGTCAGCACCGGAGTGTATACCGAGCCAGAAATGCTCTATGCAGTGCTGTGCTGCCACCCATTAGGGCTTCCTAGGATTCTAAGCTCAGGCCTCCATCCATCCCAGGTACTTCCGGAACCTGTGCTCAGACGACACCCCCATGGTGCGGCGGGCCGCAGCCTCCAAGCTGGGGGAGTTTGCCAAGGTGCTGGAGCTGGACAATGTCAAGAGTGAGATCATTCCCATGTTCTCTAACCTGGCCTCTGACGAGCAGGTACGTCAGTCACCCGCTCACAACATGCCCTTACTTGCTCAGGAAGGAGCCACTCAGTGGGCCTCTGCTTCCGCACCTCACCCATTCTTCTTTCCAGGACTCGGTGCGGCTGCTGGCAGTGGAGGCATGTGTGAACATTGCCCAGCTTCTGCCCCAGGAGGACCTGGAGGCCTTGGTGATGCCCACCTTGCGCCAGGCTGCTGAGGACAAGTCTTGGCGTGTCCGCTACATGGTAGCCGACAAGTTCACAGAAGTAAGTTGACATGTCCACAGGTTGGGACACTGAAGTGTCTGAGGGGAAGAGTGAGCCACATATAGTAGCTGGCACACATTAGGGCCAGCACAGTCCTGAATCTTAATGAGCAATCTGTTGATCTCGCAGAGCCAGCCCTGGGTGTGTGATTGGCATCTGAGAGTGCTGTGATGAGAATGATTCTGAAGTCAAGTTCCAGCTCCATGAACATGTGTTCCCTGACCTCACAACTCCCCTAAGAAAGACACAGCCCAAGAGTTAGTTGTCAGAGCAATGCCACAAGCTAGTCAGAGCAGGGACAAGTGCTGTTTGTGCTGAAATCTAAATTTCCTTAGCTGACATTTTTTTTTCTTCTTACTACTAAGAGTTTTGCCCATGCTAGGAAGTGCTCTACTGTTGTGCTGTATTCCCAGGCCCATAGTTATTAGCACTACTTTTGGTCAAGGTTTTAGAATCAGTGAATTATACATTCCTAGCCTTCAAGGAGCAGGCTAAAAGTCATCTTCAGTAGAAAGTGCTGAAGGAGTATGTTATTCTGTGTGCTTGATGGCACTGAGACGAGGAGGTGGTGCTCCAGCTGGTTATGAGGATGAGGAAGTAGCAGCTAAATAGGAATTATGTTGCAACAAGAAGACATCCTGTGCAGAGGATGTAGGAGGTAATAAGAGAATGAGCAGCAGCTTTCATGGCTGGATCCTAGGGTTGAGTTTGAGAAGGACAGAGTGAAGGACAAGAGTTTTTTGTTTTTTGATGATGATTAGTTTCCTGGTGTCTGGTGAAAGGCTTAGCCCTAAGTACTGTTTTCGTGGGTCCAGCGAAGTTATCTGAGACCTGGCCACACAGAAGTGTATTTGCCTAGGGGGCTTAGTACCACAGTAAAGGCAAGAAAGTTGGGCTTCTGGTCCTTCTGTCTGGGAGGGAAGTGGATTACACTGAGTTGGAGGATAGGGCTCTTGGAATGTTATAATGACTTTCCCACAGCAGACTGCAAACATTTTTGCAAAAACAAGATGATGTGTGCCCAAGATAATCTGAGGCCCTGCAAGATTATTACTTCTTTATTCTCTTAGTAGTGGGTCATCCTGCTTCAACTGGTCTTCCACCAACCATGTTAAAGCAGACTCTCAGACGGTCTGGCATATGTCTTCCTCTGCAATCTTACTTCATTTTAATTAAAAAAAGAAAGAAAGAAAGAAAAAAGAAAAGATACTGACTTCTTATAGCCAACTTTTTATGGCCGAAATATACATACTGACTTTGAGTGGAAGTGGAGCCGCTTATTGTGTTTAGATAATAAAAAATTCAACCCCAAATAACATGAACATAAATGAAAACATACTGTGGTAGGTGTCCTGTAACCCTCATTCTGTTTCTGAGGAAGCCAGAGTTCAGACAGGTGACACATACTGTTGTATACGTCATGGTGCTGAGATTCTGCCTCCGGTGCTGTGTTCTAACCTCATTCTAGTGCTTTCATCTCAGTTTTTGCCTCCTTAGCAGAGTGGCTGCCAGACCCTCAGTACTGCCCCTCTTTTCTCTGTGTGTAGCTCCAGAAAGCAGTAGGGCCTGAGATCACCAAGACAGATCTGGTGCCCGCCTTCCAGAACCTGATGAAGGACTGTGAGGCCGAGGTGAGGGCCGCAGCCTCCCACAAGGTCAAAGGTTGGTGCTGGCAACTAGAACACAGCTAGGTGGGTGGGTGTCTAAGAGGCAGAAATGGGACCAGAGCATCAAGTTTCACCAGTACCTTCCTGTCTCTGCCCACAGAGTTCTGTGAAAATCTCTCAGCTGACTGCCGGGAAAATGTGATCATGACCCAGATCTTGCCCTGCATCAAGGTAATGGAGTGTTTGGCTCAAATTTGAGACTACCAGAGAGGGTTGAAGGTTTGCTTTTGGGTGCAGTCAGATTAAAGCTTGGTCTACATCTCTTCTGGGACACACAGTGACTGGGTTTAACAGTGATGGGTTTGGCCTTAGGCAAAATTTGAGGGTTGCAAAAGCTTTAGAGACCACGGAGTCCCTGTGTCCACAGAGCTTAAAGAATGAGGCAGTACCTCTGAGAGCAGAGCTTACATAACAAACAAGGGAGACTTGGGAATAAGTGCAGTGTGCCCCTGAGATGCCCTGCCTATGTGAAAACCAGGAGAGTATGGTTTCCTCAGGGCATCAGGGCTGCTGTCTGTGTGGCCACTTGACACTAAAGGGGGTTTTTCTGTTCTTGGCTACTTCCTTCCTTCTCTTCTCCAGGAGCTCGTGTCAGATGCCAACCAGCATGTCAAATCAGCGCTGGCTTCAGTCATCATGGGACTCTCTCCCATTCTGGGCAAAGACAACACCATTGAGCACCTCTTGCCCCTCTTCTTGGCTCAGCTAAAAGACGAGGTGAGAGTGCTAGGAAGGTTTTCGGCCCTCTTTACAGAGATAATAGGCTACAGCTCATCAGATTGTACAAGTGTATCTTAGAATCTTGGCACCTCACGCCACAGTCCCTGCTTTGCTGAGTTGGTGACAGGCATAAATGTCTGTGTTCGCTCATTCTCGTCTGACATTGCTTCATGTGCCCTTAATTTCATACTCGTTCTTTCCTGAGTGTTGAGGATATAAGCAAAGACCAAGAGAGTAGTATTCTTAGGGATCTACAGAGTGTGCCACTGGAGAGGACCAGGTGGATAATTTTTCCCATAGTTCACTCAGACACTGTAGGTATTGGGAGAGATTGGCCATGGTTTGAAGTTCAGGTTCCATAGAGACCTAAATACAGTGACATAAATAAGTTATGATTATTATTCTCACATCATTCTAGCTGGTCCCATGGTAAGAGATTAGCCTTGCTAGCTTAGCTTTCTTGGTCTGAGGCCACAGCTATAATTTTGACCTATTGAAGGGTTTGGCTCTAGCTTGTGTCCTACCCATACCCCATTGGCCGTGGCCAGTCAGCTCCACCACACCTGGCTATACACATGGCCTAGACCACAGAGAACAAAAGAAGTCACTGGTAACAGTTCGGGGAATTGGATTTGAATCTGTAGGCAAGCGCTATAGCTGCAAGACATCTTCCTGTTATGAAAGTGTAGCCAGTGCTAGGAAGAGATGAGAGGTGGCTAGAGGTCCTGGGCAGGCAGCCCACAGTGATGCGCTTGTGAAATCAGTTGAAAGGTCTTAACGTTTACAGCTCTTGGTTCAGTTTGTAGCAACACATACACATACACACACACTTTCTGGATCTATGTTTTCGGTTTTCCAGAAAAGTTGCTTTTCATGGCTGATGTGGGGCCGGTCCATGTATGTATTTCTATAGATGTCGCTGCTCTGTGGAATAAGTGTGAATGGATACATACAAGCTGTAAATCAGAGTTCACAGTACTTGGAGCCAACAGTTGAGAGATTTGTCAGATGTGTTCCGAGGTCTGGGGTTCAGGCATCAGTGAGTAGAAATAAGAAAGATAGAGAATAAGCCCTACATGTTCAATGCTTTGTATTCCAGCCAGTAGGTACTTCTTTCAGCCCACCAAATGGCTCCCATTTCACTTTGCAGAGCCTCAGCTACTTGAGACTAGGTGGCTAATGGATATTTCATGTTACAGTACAATTCCCAGAAAGGAGCTCTTGCTTGCTCCTGTCACCCTGCTGAATGTCATGTGTTTTCTTTTCCAAGTGCCCTGAGGTGCGGCTGAACATCATCTCCAACCTGGACTGTGTGAACGAGGTGATTGGTATCCGACAGCTCTCTCAGTCCCTGCTTCCTGCCATTGTGGAACTAGCTGAGGATGCCAAGTGGCGAGTGCGGCTGGCCATCATTGAGTACATGCCTCTGCTGGCTGGACAGCTCGTGAGTGAGGAGCCAGGTTTCGCTGGCCCTGAGATGACAGACCGCAAGACCTGGTCATACCCCAGTGCCAAGACTGTGGTGCTGTCACAAGGGGCTTGTAGCTTGTAGCTTCAATGTAGGTAGTGACAGCTGCCCAAAGAGAGAGGACCAGACTCAGGAACTGGTCTTAGAAGATGAATGGAGTTCATTCAACCAGAGGGAAAAGACTAGCAGCACTGGTGGGGTTGAGTGTTTTGTAATTTTTCTGGGACCCGTTTCTCTTTTTATTCCCAACCCCTTCAAGCCTTTACTAATCTTTTTTTTTTTTCCTTCAGGGTGTGGAATTTTTTGATGAGAAACTCAACTCTTTGTGTATGGCCTGGCTGGTGGATCATGGTAAGTCCCCCCAGCAACACAGCAGGACAGGTTAGGAGCTGCAAGAACAGACAGATGAGCTAGCACATTCTCCTGCTATCATGCTTTCCTGAACTGTGTACCTGTTGCTGTTAAAAAAAACAAAACAAAACAGAGAAGTGTAGATTGGCTATCAGAGGCAGGGAATGGATGCAGAAAGACCTGGGTTTATCTGCTGAACCATGAGCAAGTCTCTTCCCGTATTTCTAGCCTTACACTCATTCTGAAACATGAAGACTTCTCATCATGGTCTCTTGGCCCTGTGAAACTTGTTCCCTGTTTTTTATTAAGTGGTTAAAAAATTAAAGCTACTGTTTTTTCTCTGCCAGGGAGTTTTAAGTAGTATGTGTTATGTAACTTGAGGTATAATGTGCAACACAGAGCCTCCCTCAGTTAGCCTTCCGCCCCTTTGGGTGGCCAGAAAGTGCTGGAGCAGGAGGAGAGACAGCAAGTGCTGCATTGTTTTGGCTGAATTTGCTGAAACTGGTGCATTGTACTAAATATTTAAAAAGGCTGTTGGGCTATATAATGTTTATTTTTAGCCCTATGATTATTATGGGGGTATTATCTACCCCACTATCACAAATAATAAGACACAAGACATCTGTTAGATTTTATAATTGCCTTATTTACCGTGGGCCAAGCAGATAGTCCTACCTACACTGTCTAAGTCACCTCATCCAATGCCATCCTCCTTAACCATCCTATCTTCCATCCATAATCTTATAGATACTTGCTTTTATTCCTCATCTAGGCCTTTTAACACCATTATTGGAGTCCTTCCACATGGTCTCTTCTCCAGGCTAACCCATCCTGGGATCCTCCTTCCTCTCCTCATGTCCTTTCTTTCCTGTGATCCTCTCTGTCCTCCAAATCCTGAGACCCTTAGCCATGCCTACCCCATTCTGCCTGCCCTGGTATAGGCTGTTTAATCAACCAATCAGACAAAGATGGGTGTATCCGGCAGGCAGTAACCAAGATCTTGAGTGCCAGTAATTAGCATTAGACCAACCTCCAACAGGTGTGGCTGTTGCCCCCTGCTGGTCAGGCCTTCACCCTGAATCACCTCTCTTACTCCTTCTCTACTACAGTCTATGCTATCCGTGAGGCTGCCACCAGCAACCTCAAGAAGCTAGTGGAGAAGTTTGGGAAGGAGTGGGCCCACGCCACTATCATCCCCAAGGTCTTAGCCATGTCTGGAGACCCTAACTACCTGCACCGCATGACTACGCTCTTCTGCATCAATGTGAGCATCCTAATTGCCTGTCAACCTCCGAAAATGGCAGTCCCCCTGGGATGAAGGTGGAGGAGGACCCTTGTCTACCTAGATGTTTGCCTTGGAAATACAAACATGAGTTGGTGCTAGGGATGAGTCTCTGAGAACTGGAGGCCAGAGCATGAGTCTGCAGTGTTAGATCAGGTCTGTAAGAGTCAAGGAGTGCATTGATGAGAGAGATCCAAGATTGGGAGGCATCTGTGTGAGAGCAGCAGCCTCAAATTCTGAGCACCCTCTGCTTGCTGGAATACATGTGTTCAGATACAGCGCCCTCCGCCTGCTGAGCAGGAGAGCAATTGTGGCTCTAGATTTAATGCAGTTCAGTTTCAGCTGTGTCACATCGAAGGACCTAAGTCAGTCCTTCCGTTTTCTCAACTTTGGAGATTTATGTAGGTGCTCACCAGGCTGTGGAGGATAACGTAATAAGAGACAGAGTGCACAGGACAGTTCTGATTTTGTAGTGAATATACTTACGACTAATTTTCAGTAGCATTCTACTGGCCTCTTATACTGTCTTACAGATATATAAGTCCTAACCAAGCTAGAACCTAAAAGATGGGTTAGAAACAACTTTAAGTAAATATTCTGCTCATTTCCTCTCTGCTCTAACTTGGAGACTCCTATATTAAGGAGGCACCTTAGGGCTTAGGAATCAAAACTCCTCAAACTTTTGAGGATGATGGAAATCCAGACATAGAGCCCAAAACATCACCAAGTGAAAACTGTTAGGAAGTTTGGAACTGCAGAGGAGGGTAAACTCTCCCCAGAGTGATGCCTCTGGACCGAGATTTTCCCATGTTTCTTTAGGGTCCTGACAATGACCCAGGTGGCATAATTAGAAGAAGATACATGGGGAGCCTTGCATAATTGTGCTTCTGCCATTCACTGGTCTTCAGGTGCTGTCTGAGGTCTGTGGACAGGACATCACCACCAAGCACATGTTGCCCACAGTTCTTCGTATGGCTGGGGACCCAGTCGCCAATGTCCGCTTCAATGTGGCCAAGTCCCTACAGAAGATAGGACCCATTCTTGACAACAGGTGAGGTCTGGGACTTGTTCTAAACGTCTTTTATATTTAAAGATGTAGCCCAGGGTTTGAAAACTTCATGCTTTATGAACCTTATCTGTTCTTTCCTCTCCACAAGGTCTGTTTTCTCTAGAATTGAGAATTACTTCCCACAGAATAAAATGAAAAAAACAGAGGGTGATAGTTAATGCAAGGTTAGAAAAAATGAAATTAGGCAATATTTATGTACTGTGTTTATGTAGAGAAAGCCGTGCATGTATCTAAAATTTGTACTTCAGATACAAAAAAAAATACATGTAATGAGATACATTTAACATTTCTAGTGAAACTATTAAACACTGTCCCAGGAAGGAAATACGTTCAGTCTTCATGTCCAGGTTTAGATTTAATGTGAAATGATTATATATCAGCAGATTCTTAGTGGGAATTAGCCTGGGAATGCAGAGGACTGGACACATCTTAAAGAACGAAGTTAGGGAGCTCAGTTCTACCTGACACATAGGGCTGGATTAGCCCACATCACATATCCTAAGAGCAAAGTTAGGCAGCTCAATTCTGCCCAGACCATAATTAAGAAACAGCAAGGTACAGGGAAGGATGTTCATGTCTCACTTTAACATTGTACAGAGCACACAAAGCACTCAAGTATGTGGAACAGTAGGTGCCATTGTAGTTTGATGGGGCAGTGTCTGTTTTCTAAAAATGACTGTATCGTTTGGATGCCCGTGTAAGCCCAAACAGAATTTCTATCTCTGCATAAACAAATTAATTTGAAGTTGGTTTTAGAATCAGAACCAAGATGATGAATAAAGCATTTAAAATATGTAGAAGAATGACTTGGGCTGGGCATGCATACACTTGCTGAGGTGAAAGGAAGAGATTGATAAAGATGACTTTCATGCAAATGAAAAGCTGTATAGCATAAGGCAAACCCCTGACAGGACAGAGCTGTTTCATATGTGTAAAAAACTCAAGTATCCTATAGATCGGAGGGCAAGTGAGAGTATGGGAAACTAGAAGGTGCAAGTAAGGTAGAGAGAAAGTAGGCAGGTAGTCAGAACAATATCTGCGAAAGTGTCATGAGGAAACCTGTGCTTTTGTGTTAATTTAAAAGTAGTATCTTAACATGCTCAGTGAGCATGTGACAACATGCATTTGACTAGGTCCTCAGCATCATAGCCTGTTGGGCCAGCACAAGTTACAGCTGAAATACTCTGCGAAGTATCATGCTGGTGAGCACTGTGGCACAGCTAGGATACCTGCAGTTGCAAATGGCTTAAAAGGCTGAGCATGTTAACTAGAGGATGTAAATCCTAAGCCAGCTCTTGCTTTTAGAGAGATGAGTACTCGGTACTGCTCCTCTCTCCACCCCTTGAAAATGTGGCCTTATGTACAGTAGCCGTAAGACAGAGTCACCCAAATGCCACTACAGACCATGTTGTGCTTATTTATAGAACAAAACACTCAGTAATTGAAAAAGAGATGCCTGTTTTAAGCAGCAACATGGATGATTGAGGCTGATGTGCTGGTACCATATTGAGGGAGAGGCTAGACATAGGCAAGTAAGTCGTTTGTATTCCGTTTACAATAGTTAGAGATAGGCCTGGAGAGATGATAGCTCAACAGTCAAGAGCACTAGCTGCTCTTGCAGATGACCTGGGCTCACTTCCCAACACCTATACAAAAGCTCAAACATACTTTTAATTCTAGTTCTAGACTATCAAATACCCTCATGGATTTTGAAGACTGCTACATACACATTGTTCCCATGAACTCACATAAGGGTGTGTGCATGCATACACGCAGAGAGAGAATTTAAGGGGGTGAATTGTCAAATAGCCAGGCATGGTGGTACACAGTGGACTGTAACCCCTGTACTCTGGTAGTTGAGGCAAGAGGATGAAGAATTATAGAACAGCTTAGGCCACATAGTTTAGGGTCACATGGAGTTACATAATAATACCTGCCTGCCCAAAACTAACAAAGCAAGCAAGCAAACAACAGAAGCAAAACAACTCTAGGTATTAGAAATGAGGGCAGTGGTTATATGGAGGGAAAAGGAACTGTCTGCCAACTAAAAGGGGACATTTGATGTCTGTATGTCTCATCTTTGCTTAATACCTTTGTCTCTAAGATCTGCCTTCATAGCTCACAACTTAAAGAATAGACGGATTCTCCTATGTCTCTTATATAAGAATAGATTCCACTTCTAGTTTCCTTGAAATCAAGAAGTCTTTGACTCTCTTGCCACACCCAGTTATTGGGCTCATCTGGGCAGGAATTAAGAATGATGTGCCTTTGCATTCACACCAGACATACAGTGCCTCAGTGAACGTTTAGTCAGTAAAGGAATCTGTTTGCTCAACTCCAAGACCTGTGGGTTCTGCTTTCCCAGACCTTGCTCACCTCCTGTGCTAGCCCAAGAGCTTTCCTCCTTTTAGAACTGTTGAATTCCAAGCCTAAGGATCAGGGATTTTTTTAATGTATATGCTTCTATATGTCCTTCTGTACTCTGGCTTGTGATTTGGTGTGTCTCTATCTTTATGCTTACCTGCACAGGAGCCCTCTTCCTACCTGTGAGCACCTCCACCTCCACCCTGCCCAAACCTAGCCTAACTCACTACTTTCCCCGCCCCCTCACTTTCCAGCACCCTGCAGAGCGAAGTCAAGCCTATCCTGGAGAAGCTGACCCAGGACCAGGATGTGGATGTCAAGTACTTTGCCCAGGAGGCTCTGACTGGTAAGGGGCTAAAGAGTATAGAGCCCCTGGCAGAAGGGTGGATTGCACAGTGTGAGGGCTCTTGGGAAGGGGGCAGCCCTCAGCAGTATGGGTAGAGAATGTGGTTTGGTTCTAAGGCCTGATTGTCCCTTGTTTCCCCAGTTCTGTCTCTTGCCTGATGCTGGAAGAAGAAGCATTGTTGGCCTCTGGTGTCCACCCTCCAACCCCCACAAAGTACCTCCCTTAGGGAGGTAGTGGGGGTCCAATGACTGTCACTTCCTGTGCATGGTCTGATCCCAGACCCCTCCCCCAGCACGGTTCCTCCTCTCTGTCGCCTGGGAAGACTTCTCTGTCCACCTTCCAAGAGGCTAGGGCAGTACAAGTCGGGGCAGGGCAGCAGCCTGAAAGGAAGGGCTGGCTGTTCCTGCCCATATTGGGAGAGATGGGAGCATCCTAGGTCACTGGCTCCTGCTGCTGTAATGGGGACCCTTCCCCATCTACTTACCCCCACCCACTTCTTATCCATATTTTTTTGTGTGTGTGTCCACTGTGCCATTTTTATTTTATCCCTTTCTGTGCTCCTTCCACAGAGAAATAAAGGTGTAGAAATGGTTGGTCCTCTAGTCTTAGTCATCAGAATGGGGGAAAGACCGCTGCCTTGGGGCTTGTTCTGTTTTTTTCTCTGGGGAGACCATCCTGCAGCTATCAGTCCTGCTGTCCTAAGAGTGAGGACAAGTCTAGCAAGAGACACAGAGCAGAAGGTCCAGAGACTGCTCAGGACAGAGTCTTGGGATGCAGTAAAGGCTTTCAGGTACAGGCAGAGTTCTCAGGTTTGTGCAGCATTAACTGGTTCAGTTAACCAGTTTAGGTAGCTCCTCCTGGGCCACTTGCCATGCAGTCAGTTTGGCTAATGAATCCATGTGTGCCTCTGCTGGCCAAACCTGCTTCCCAGGAGATTTGGTTAGGGCCCTGTGAGGAGTCTCAGGATATGGCTGCACCAATGCTTTGTAGGAAGTTTGTATGAAGACAGAACCATTTGTCCTCAAGTACCTGTTCTGCTTTTATTATTTAAGACTGATTTTTACAGTTCTTTTTATTGTTTTTTATTTCTGTGTATAGCCATGTGTGTGTGCAGGTAGCCACAAAGGCCAGAAGAGGGCATCAGTTACCCTGGAGGTGTAAAACAGTCATTTGTGAGTCTTCTAACATGGATGTTGGGAACCAAACTCTAGTCCCCTGGGAGAGCAACAGCCACTCTTAACCACTGAATCATCTCTCTCTAGCTCCTGCTCTCCCTTTAATATGGAAGTGCTAATTTTTAGCTGGCTATATAACTTCCTTGGTTCAAGACATTTTCTACTGGAGCATCTGGTAATGTGACTAAATTCTGGCCAGAATGACATGGAGAGAAATAGTATGCACAACTTACAACGGGGGAAGGCATTATTCTCCTTTCTGGACTTTGGAAGGTAGATGAGATTGCTAGAGTAGGGCACCATCTCAGGCAGGGAAGTCTTAGTTAGGCCAGGCAGGGCTGACAAAGAAGACAGAGCCTTAGTCCCTCACATTGAAGAGCCAGCCATTATTGGACACCATGGAACTGTTGAATGATTGCAGTACTCTTAAAGATCACATCAATTGTGACCAAAGCAGAAGGGTAGGAAGCCAAAAGCCCCTAAAAAGGGAACAAGGGATTAGAGACACAGTGTCTACCAAGAAGGGTCTCACAGGAATTAACACAAAATTAAGTGGCTCAGCTGGATGGGCAGGAATTGTGTGACTGATTTTTATAAATTCTCTATACTCATGTTCCTGTGCCCCTATTTTATTAGACCTTATTCGCTGGGGGTCCCCTTGACCTCGCAGGATGAGGATGTGCTCAATCCTGCTGTGACTTGGTGTGCTGGGGAGGGTTGATGTGGGGGGGAGGGGACTTCCCTTTTCTGGGGCTAAGGGGAGAGGGGAGGGAAGGGTCACCCTTGGAATGTAAAGTAAATAAACTGAAATTTAAAAAAAGAACAAAAAATAGATCTAGTATGTAATAGAAAGCACAACAGTCATGCTTTCCCGGTTTATGTTTCTGAACAATTCAATATTGATGAAAATAAACTTATTTTTAGGTGGTAGAAAAACAGAAATCCTGTACCTTGTCATCACAGAACAATGAATAGAGCTATAATCCTAGAATATTCTTAACAGGAAAAACACAAGAAAGAGAAAGTGAACCAACAGACCTACCGTCTTATTTGACTAGGTACCCTCATTGCCTCTAGATCTCCTTGTTTCCTAACAAAACTTTCATGTTTTATGAACATTTCAGAACAATGCCCATGCTTTTCCACAAAAATCAGCCGTTGTCTTTATTAGAAAATGTGACTCGCCCCACTAAAAGTCATAGGCTTAAAAAATCTAAATATCTTCCCTGGAATCTTTGTATATCTCCAAGTCAGTTTATTCTAGACTACACATTGCGTTCACTATAGGCTTCTTGCAAAATTTATCTTTCTTTGTCAGCTCCTACAGCTAAGACTCAGGGGTTACTGCAGAAAAAGGATGTAAAGTTTGTAAGACTTACTGTAATGGGAAGTTTGCCTTGAGATTCTGTCTCCTAGAAATGTCAGAGAGGCTACACCCATGAAGTCTCATTACTGTGGCTACCTAACAAGACCTAGACAACAGCACCAATGGATGATAACTTAGAAGGGGGAAAGCTTGCAAGGTCTCAGGTCCTAGACAAACTACTGTGAACTGGGGAATGCTGAGAGGAGAAATGTGCTTCCCCAGTGAGGAACACACCAATTGTTCATTCAACACAAAGTTGTCAGTGCTGAGATCACATACACACAGGTAACATGGACTGAGCAGGTTGTATTTATGTGTTTAGAAAAATAGAGAAAGTGACAGTGGAAGGGAAAGAGGGACCATGAATCTAAGAGAGTAAATGGATGCATAGAAGTGGTTGGAGGGAGAAAAGGAAAGGGGAAAATGATGTGATGCGATTATAACCTAAAATAAAATTTTGTGTGCATGTAAGTATGTTACGTATGCTTGTGGAGTCCAGAAGTAAGCATCAGGTGTCTCCTGCAATTACATTGCACCTTATTTTAAAAGTTTTATTTTACATGTATGTATGAGTGCCTACGTGTGTGTGCTGTGTGGTGTGTGTGTGTGTGCGCACGCCACTGTCATGCGTGACACATGCAAAAGCCAATTAAGAGTTACAGGAATTTGGAAACTGTCATGTGTATGATGGGAATCCCAGGTCCTTTGCAAGAGAAGCCAGCATTCTTGATCACTGAACCATCTCTCCATCCCCACATTTTACCTTTTCACCTTTGGCTATTTCTTTATATTCTGTGTAATTTTTCTGACACATTGCAAAATGGATAGTACACATAACCTACATGCTTATGTATCCACATACATTCCTATTATCTACCTATATGTGTGTATATGTATAGAGATAAAAACACACAGCACAGATCAGCTTTTTTGTAAACAACCAACCATATGTGAATTGTTTCCTATTCTGAGAGTGTAACTGAATAAGAATTATCTAAAACCTTACAATTAACATGTTGGTGATAATGTCAGGATAATGTTCTGTTCTTAAGGGAGCCAGACCAGCTCATCAGCAGAAAGAAGCTCACAATGTGGAAACACATGGAGACTTGTACTTATGTTTACCAGCTACCAACTGGGATGATACATAACATAAGACCCAAAAATGTTTGAAAGATATGTGTAACAGCAGACAGAGATGTTTATTAGGAGAAGGATAGTGTTGGTAGCTCTGAATGTGGTAGAGGATCTGGAAGTCCTGCACATGTGTTGCATTTTCTGCTTGTGTCTGTATAAAAGGAACCACAGAGCAACTGGCCCAAAGCATGAGTCCCACCCACAGGACAACAGGGAGCGACAGTTTTGCTACAAGTAGCAGTGTACCAGTTTTGTCAAAACGAACAGCAGAACAGTATCCAAAAATCCTTCAGACTGTCATATTTCTATTGCCCTGTTTTCTATTTCACAATGCATTTATAACAGAAAATGTCTATAAAGAGGTATGGATGAGCCAATGTACCTGTGATAAATTTTTCTTTAAGCTGTGTCCACCAGTCAATACTGGGTTGATGTTGATGCTTTGGAAGACAGACACTGAGCAGGTACTTCCAAAAGGGACACCCCTGCCCTTTCTGTGGAGATAGAAAGGCAGTTTGCAAACAAAGTCACTGAAATAATTAATTTAAAGCTGCCCTTGTCTGGGATACCCCATTACATAGGAATGTCAAGAAGTTAGCTATAATTAAGTACATCAGATCTGTAGGCTTCAGCCTGCATGCTATACTGTAGTAAGAGATAATGAGGAGAGCTCTAACCAGAGTCTGTAAAAAGAAAATCAATTCAACAGCTACCTCCTTTGACTACCTTAGTGTCACTTTTCTACATTTTTCTAAAATCAAGGTGGCTGAAAGGGAAGGATGAAACATGGACCGCAGGCCCCAGTCGCCTGAAGCCCGGTATTTCCTGGCTACAGGTATTCTCAGTTGGGATATTTCTGTTCACCTTTTCTTTTACTAAAAAGCTCCTGGGAGTAGTAGAGGGGAGCTGCTGTTCCTAACGACTCTACTGCCTGCTTTTGGATCACTTCCGCCTGGCAGCACTGCCTGCCGCCTCACCCCCTCAGGGTGAGGGTGTGCTCAGTCCTGATATGACATGATATGCTGGGGAGGGTTGATACAATTGATGGGGGTTCCCATTTTCTGGGGGGAATTGGGGAAAGGGGACTGGGAAGAGAGGAGGGAAGGGGCACCCTTGGGATGTAAAGTAAGTAAGCTGAAATTTAAAAAAAAAAAAAAAGTAGAAGCTGCTGCTGCTCTTAGAAGAGCAGTTGCCGTCAACACCTGAGTTGAAGCAGCCAGTCGGAGTTCAGAAGGAAATAGAAAGGGTGAGCTTTTGCAGCATTAAGTCTCAGAAATTGAATACAGTCTAGGCTCAGCTTAGATTATACAGAGAATAGGAGCCTCCAGGACTAGGCCTAGGTTAGCAGATAAAGATTTACTACCTCCAAGACAACAATTACATCAAGCAAATAAAGTTTTTACATCTGGTACCCATAAAAGGTAAATTTACATCTGGAGCCCACAATTACATCAGGAGAATAAAAAAGTTGTACACATTGTAAATTCCAGTATATATGTTCACACTTTTTAATATACTAGACTTTAAATGACTGTCTCCAGAAATGGGAAGAAAAAAAAAGACCCAAGGTGGGAGTGATGCAAAAATAAGAAACATTGCCCTTTAAAACCATCAAGAAGAGACTAGTGAGGAATGATAGAGAATAGTGGAGAGGGGGAGAAAGCATAGGACAGTGTGGAGGCTCTGCTCCAGAATCTGAACTGCTTTTTTGTTAGGTAAGGCAAAAATTTGAGATGACCAAGCAAAAATTGGTCATGGGGATAATACAAGTATCCATATACTATTACAACAAGGACAGTACATAGACTGACTTACTTAGGACTAAACTTAGCACTCTCTTTCCTAAATCTATACTAGATAGAATAAATCTATCTTATAACTTTGTTTGCAGAAGGAAATTATTAAAATCACTTTA